CCACCTGACATTTGAGGAGGTAAGAACTTGCGGACAAAAGTTTTTCATTGAGTTGAGTACTTTTTTAAGTTGCTTTACTTTGCAACATGGTCTTTATTTTAAAGTGTTCAAACGTAAAATCATGCTAAACTTTTTTATTCAGAATTGTATATGATGAAGTTTTTTGATAGTTTCAATAATCAACATATATGGCTGGACAGTTCCATCACATACATGTTTAGACTTTGGAGGCAAAACGATACTAAAATGGATTTTACATGGATGTAATAAAAATTATTACACATAAAAGAGGTTATGTTGAATAATTTGATATATGTTGTGTTTTTATTACATAGTTTGGAGGGGGATGGACTTGGACACAGAAAATGTATGTTATGTCATACATGCACCAACACTTATATTCTGTCTTATGCATACATACTCCAAGTGACCTCTTTCAAGTACAAAGGCCCCCTGCAGCCAAAATGTCTGGTCTCTGTCACACTTCATGGCTATTTGCAATTCACTGACAGTACTGTTAGAAGAGACAGGCCATAGAAATCTGAATTTTCATTGCTCATTTAAAAAATTGGGATGCACTATGTTTGGTACAAGCTTCAAAATTCCCCATTATTCAAAAACTCCCCAGTCCATACAGTTTATATATGGAAATTCCTGCAAAAAAGACCATTAAAAAAAAGTAATGGTTGTGTTGTCAGAACAAAAATAGCTACTTTAATTCAAATTTACATATGATCGCTCATTCACACTGAAGTGGTGTGGAGTGTTGTTACTGCGGGCAGAGTTACTGGAGTTGACGATATGGAGAACATGATTAACTGTTTAACATATTTGTTGTGTATGTTGTCTTCATGTCCAAAAAGAAAAGACCAAACTTTAGTTTCCTGATGTCCATGAGGATTTCAGTCTAAATGTGTCAGTTTGATGTGTGCAGCACTGTGCAAAACTCAGAGACCACCCTTTTATTTATTTGATTTCCACACAAAACGACTGAGTTATTAATTTTTTTTTTTGCACAGGAAAAAAGCAGAAAACATAACAGAAATCTACACAGAAACTAAATATAATTTACATTTTTTCAGTATTCATGGTGTCCACTCTTTGCGTTTATTACAGCTTCCATTCTTTTCAGGAGACGTGTTTTTAGTTCGTCTGAAATCTGCAGGGATATTTTTCCACGCCTCCAAAGTTCAGTCTTAGAAGTTGGTTACATTTTCTGCTTCTCACCATTCAAGTAATCCCAAACACACTCAGTGATGTTTTGATTTCTGGATTCCTGGGTGGTCAGTCCATTGTTTTGAGCAGCTTCTTGACAGCTACGCATATTTTCATAGCTTTGAGCTGATTCTCAGAACGTCTGATGAATAATTTGTATTTAATAGCTGCTTTGACTGGACATTAAATAAGTAAAGTGTAGTCTCTTGACTTTTGCACTGTACTGTACATTTCAACCTGAACTGGTAAGGCACAATACAGGGCGGCGAATCAGAATAGAGGTCATTTACATATCAGTCTTAAAAGCACAGTAACAATAACTGCTCATTTAATTCTCAGGGATTAAGATGTAAAACATAATTAGAGTACTTTGGGTACAACCCTGTTTCCAATTAACCTAATTAGTTGTGAGATGTGCCATCAGGTGTTTTTTTGCATTACACAACTTTACCAGTCTTTTGTTGCCCCTGTTCCAACATTTGGAAATGTGTTGCTGCAATCAGATTCAAAATGGGCATATATGTTTCAAAAAACAATAAAATTTCTCAATTTCAAAATTTGATATGTTGTCTTTGTGCTATTTTCAAATAAATATAGGGTTTAAATGATTTGCACATTATTGCATTCTGTTTTCATTTTGCACAGCGTCCTACCTGTTTTGGAAACAGGATTGTAAATAAACCCTCAGAAATGTTATAAGGGGTTGTTAAATGTTAATAAATACATGAAAAATAGTAAAATATAAAGTCTATAAGTACATGCAGTAGATGCCCTTTACAGGCCTCCACCAGGGTGCACTGCTGTGAATGTGTGTATGATGCACTTGCACTGTCTCAGAAAGGTCAGACAGTCTCTTTTGGGTTAAAAAAAAAACAAACATCTCATTCCTGTTTCTTCACAATCCCCCCGTCTCCACATTATTCTGTCCAGTTCTCCACCTCAGACTGCCCCCATCTCTTGGACATTGTAATTGTGTTTCGGCTGGAATGTGTGTGTGACGTGGGGGTGTCTGTCAGAAACCTCATGCATCTCAGTTTGGCTGAGGCCATTAGGAGCACCATTATTGCTCCAGTGTGTAGGTGTGTGTTTTTTTGAGGATTGTTTTCTTATTAAGTCGGTTGCTGCTGACAGTGATGTGTCTGTTAACCTCATTGCAGTTGAGCAGTGAGTGTTGTGGTAATATCCTGGACGAGAATATCCTTTTTTCCATCCTGGCTGCTGACAACAGTAAGATGTTCAGTCAAGCTGGTAATTGCCGGTTTAAGAATAATTAGCATCCAGACTAATTAGCACCCTTAACAAAATTAGCACCCTTGAAGGGGAATTCCACCAGCTTTTCGACAAAAATTCCACATAATTCAATCATAAACAGTGTCTTCCAGAGTCATTTAATGTGAAATGCTTCATTCTAAAGAACTTCATTCTAAAGAAGAAGTCAGAATTGTTCACAGTGGTGGTGATAGGAAACAGACGTCTGAAGGATTTCATGCCTCTAAATGCTGCCTCATAGAAATGATTATTCAAAATGGTTATGGATACACTGCCTGATGTCTGAGATGTTGATTTATGATAGTTTTGAGATCCACTTTTTTATCATCATGACATCACATATAAGCACTCAGAGGGTATAAGCACCTGAAGGTTCTTTGGTTGTTTTGGATAGTCAGTGAAATGGACGTATTTGTGTTGTAGACATTGTGACCCCTGGTTCCTTTTACCGCCACTGTAAAGAAATCAGCAAGTTTCTCCACGGTGAACAATTTTACACCAAACCACTCTGAATGGCTTTCTTTATATAATTGGATTAAGCAGATATTCTTGAAAAATTGGTTGAACTTCTCTTAAAAAATTCACAGTTAGAATAATAGGTTTACAGTTTGGCATATAGTTTTTGCAATTATTCCATTCCAGATTTTAGTTAATTGGTTAGACCCAATCACACAAGAAATAAAGCATAAAAATATTTGAGTTGCTAGAAAGTGAACTATGTAGCTGAGACAGCATACTGACACAGTGCTATACCATTAATTACACATTATTCATTTTAGATATTTCTGAGGAGATTAACTATGACATAATCCACTTGCATAATGGAAGCGAACGTGCAAATGAAAAGTGGAAAAACAATTGTTTCTGGAGAGAAATTTTAAAAGATACAGAGAAAATGGGACTCCTAACAACCGTGCAAGGCCTCTCAGCCCACCAAAACTGTTCCCATCAGATTAACAGCACTTAAAGCTTTCTTCTTTGAGAGAGAGGAGAAAATCAAGCTCTACTTTTGTTTCTGATCTGAAAAAATCCACAGATGTTTCTGTCTATCCACTATAAGGAAGCTGTTATTAAGAAAAAGAAATTAGTCTAAATGTGTTATTGGAATTATTTGGATCATAAGAAGCAGAAAATACAGCCAACTTCTAAGACTGGACTCTTAAGGTGTGGAAAAATATCCCTGCAGATTTCTTTGGCCTCCCAAAAAGAATGGAAGTTGTTATAAAGGCAAGCAGTGGACACGTTAAATGCTGAAAAAGGCTTCTGTTAAAAATGTGTTTTTGGCTTTTTTTCCTGACCCTGAAAAATGAATAACTTGTACTTTGGAAATTAAACAAATGAGGGGTGGTCTCTGACTTTTGCACCTTATATAGGAATCACAGCATTTCTATAAGAAGTCTTGCTGGCACACAAAGTGTGTCCTGTTGCTTATGTTCTCTATAAATGGCGGTATGTACAGACAAGGATACAGAATTTCAGGAAATGGTCGTGTTAAATTAACCTGTAAAAGGATGCAGTAGATGATGGAACGCTGCTCTGAGAAGGTGATTTTTTTCTTCTTGCCTCATTACAAATATGACACATTTACCAGTCGTGTGATATGTGAATCATATTTTGGTGAAAAAAATAAACAAATAAACAAGCAAAATGAAAAAAGAAGCAGAAAATCCTTTTTGTTTTTTTTTTTATCCCAAGCACAAAGTTTGATTAAGATAAGCTGAGGTCATGTGTGCACTACAACAGTAAGACTGCAGCTGTCTGTTTTCCTGTGGAGTAAAATCCAATCCTCAATGGAGCTGGTTGCCAGCTGGTTAGGGAATGTGTGGCGAAGTTAGTAACTGAGCTCTGGATTGTGAAGACACTGTTGGCTTCTCGAAAAGCTGTCAAGTCTGTGTAATGTAATTCATGAGCCAGTGCCGTTCCCTCCTTCAGATGTCAATGTGGTGGTTCCAGATGGATCTCTGCCCAGAAGGTTACCCCTGTACGTTTCCCTCTGCTGCACAGACTTTTTAGATGATCCCTAAGTCTGACTATTAGCTGGCAGAGTGAGTTTAGATGCCGTGCAGCCGTAGTGGTGGAGAGAGGGAGAGAGAGAGGGGGACAGAGAGAGGGAGTGAGAGAGGGAGAGAGAGAGGCAGTAGCTCCCCCCCCATGCACACATACACGGCAGCTTTAGGGAAGAGAGGCAGAAATAGGACATAGGACTCTCCCTGACGTATAACAATCTTTTCTCCCACACACTTTTCCAGCCAGTGCTTAGGCTCCCACCCCCCACCAGCTCTCCTGTCAGTGGGGTAGCGTGAGGCGCTCTGACCGATGCCTACTGGGAGCCAGCAGTGAGAAACAAAAGAAGCAGGAGGAACAGCAGGCTGGCCGTGCATTGCTTTCTCCCTGAGCTCTGGCTCAGACTATGACTGAGAAAGAGAGAGAAAGCTGATTGTTCTGAAGAAAAGGGGGGCTCCATGTCTGATAGCACAGACAGATATTGCTGCATCTGCAAGCCTCGTTGGAAGATTCCAGTGGAAGTCCTGAGGAAGGACACAGTTGGACTCGAGACAGCCGTCCACATGCATGTTCACGAGCTGTCAAGGTTTGCTGATGTGGATGCATCGCTTGTCAAGTTCCAGTCCTGGGTGAGTACTCTTACACTGCAACCCAACACCAATATTTTACGGGGCAGGGGCAGTAAAAAGAAGGATCTTGCATGCTCCATTTACCTTATAAATTGCATGAATGAATGAACTTTCCTCAGTGTCTCGTATTGGCTCATGGTACAACATCCAGCCTTCCTAAACAGCTTAAACAGTTTATACAACTGCACAACTGTTCAGCGCTGCAAAGATTCAATGGTACACAAGGTACTCAGGCTTTATTCCTTCTTGTAGAACTAGTTATTTCCCTCATATTGGCCCGTGATAGAAAACACAGGCTTCTTCAACAGTTGACTTCAGAAGAGGCAGCATCGAAGAAAACTAATAACGTGCAACAATGCTTCACAGATTCAACAGCACACAATTCAGGCTTTAGTCCTTCATGTAGGGCTATTGATTTGCCTTATTGGCTCATAGTAGAAAGCACAGGCTTCTTCAACAGTTTGAAACTGGGTTGAATTCAGAAGAGGCAGCATCAAAGAAAGCTAATGATGTGCAGCAATGTTGCCCACAACTCACATCCGTACTACCTCACATAGTGTCCTTGTTCTTGTAACAATGTTACAGCGTCCACTTCTTTTCTTAGTTATATGCGCATCTCCATGCCTGCTAAAGCTCCTGCCTGGGCATTATGTGGGTTAGCGCCATTGTCCGTGTATCTCCTTTCACTGTATACACTCACATATCGCTGGACATCACAGCCTCATCACCTTACACTCAACTGATAATCGCCTGCATCTCTACAGCCAGCGGCGGCAAGCTCGTCATCACTCAGTGGGATCGCCGATAGTAATGGCACCACAATATGTGTGAATCACATTTAGGCGCTTCATTGGTCTGGAGGGAATTTTCAAGGGTGAATGTTAAACTGTCCACAGCACCGTAAGTGACGAGATGTCTCTTCATAAGATCAGTTATGGTGCCACAGCGTGCCATTGTTTTCATGGGGCTTGTTAAAGAAGGCCTTGAGATGCCTACAGAAGCTTTAGGGACATGTGTCACCTCTGGAGAGTTGAAGAACAGGCACTTAGGCTAGGGTTGGGTGTCCTGTTTATTGCCGGAAGGTCACAGTGCCGTTTGAACTCTAGGATTGTGTTACAGTGAGCAGAAGATGCTTGTAAGATGATGAGGTATGCGATTTTCGGAGGTACCTAGGTGCAAACAGGGTTAAGAAGTGTATAAGGCATGAATCAGTGCTGCGCTTTTCAGTCTGCTTTTTCAATCTCTGTGAGATTCTACAAAGTGCAAGTTGAAGTGGCTTTATTGACTGTAATTTTAGAGTGAAAGGAGAACAGTTGTATGCTCCATAAATCATCTTGTAGGGGAAATTACTGTCTGGACCTTTGCTTCTGGCGACACATAGATGGTACAATCACTCATATTGGCCTGCATCAGATGAATGCCTTGAAGGTTTCACTGAATGCCTACTTTTTTTTCCTTCTAATGCACTTACTCAGGTTCACATATTCTCTTTTTAGTTGCACTATGCTGTGCTCAAAGGTAATGATGTTAGCCTGTGACCCTGCTGTATCATTAAAAGAATCAAGAAGCTCTGAGCTGAAAAAGCATGAATCTTCAAAAGACGAGAGGGGTAAAATGAGGAAGCAGTTCTTGGAGAAAATAGCTTATATTTTGCATTTCTACAGCTCTAACAAACATGGTTTCACATCATTTTCTTTTGCACCTACTTATGTTTTGTAGGATATTACATATTAACTAATATAGCATGGCTTATGTGAGCAGTCAGAACAGTCCCTAAGATGCTGATTACTGCACACTGGATGTCATCTTCAGAAATTCATGTAAACAGTCTTTGTGCTGAAATCAAATCCACATCCCTAAACAGTGTGAGCTCACCATTGAGCCCTGCTCTCGCAGTGGTCTTTCAGTCCTCGTGGACACCAGCCGAATGATCCTAATTCACTCGGACAGGGTGGAAAAGTGGGACTGCTGTAATTCTCTGAGCAGGGGGCTCTTTCAGTCTGCCTGCCCGCCACTGCTCTAGCACGCTGTAGATAAACGTGACTGTGAGTGTTTATGCTCTTATCAATTTCTCCTTCTCATGTTTGATGGGTTCCCCAGACTTCTAAATTGTGAACCAACAGTGGTTGTGGAGATTAGAGAGTGAGCTAGGGGTCCTCAGTCCTCTTTCAACTCATAGGTTTTTAATGTGGTTATTGAGCCATTTTTGGATGCATGTTTTGGATTCTTGTTATCTTCCTCTCTAACTGTCCTCCTCACTGTGCGTGGGGGAAAATACACTTGACCTCTTTCAAACAGCTTCACAGCTTCACTCTGGTTGTTCTAAATTTCTTAATTATTGACCTTACAATTGACATGGACATTTTCAGGCATGTTGTTTTTTTTTTATAGCCATTGCTTGATTTATAAAGGTCATCACACTTTTATCTCTCTTTCATGTGTGTAAAAGCAAACATCTTCAAAATATAGCTTTGTGTTTACCACATATTTGCAGCAAACCAAAAGTTTGTAACATTGGGTTTTTATGCTACCGCCTGTGTTAAACTGTTCTTTTTTGTGCTTTGTAAACTATTTATCAGTTGTTTTCAGATATCGTTTAAGGTAAATTAGATCATGTAAGTACTGAAGAACTGCTGCTAAAAAACATCATCTCTGGAATTACAACTCTCTGTAATAGTAGGAAAAAGAGCCCACACTGACAAAACACAGTCTAATGTATACAGTCAAAATGATCACTAGGGACTTTCATGGTAGAAGTATACAGATGAGGCAAGTTGGCTGCTTGATACCCATTGCTAAAACAACAGCTGACTCGCTGGAATAGCGAAAAAAAAAGAGATGGCTCATGGAAACGAAACACAATCTAATGTACACACTCAAAATGACCACTAATGGCTGTATGAGGTAGAAATACTTTTTTGTTCTTTGTAATATTGATCTCATAATGTCTAAGTCAGAGAACAGTACCCAGTGTGTGAAATCTTCCCTGGTATTTGTGGAGTCTCAAGTTGGTTGGCTACTCTAGTGTTGGCCGGCTGTTAACAGTCACCTTAGCGGTGCTGGTGCTAGCTTCCATGGCACCATAATGTTTGGTTCAATGAATGTTCTTTTAGAAAGGCCCTTTTCTAGTTTGGAAATGTGCTCTTCCACACTTTAACTAGGACTTTACACATCTCCTACACACGTCTTTGGTTTGAGAAATGAGCAACAGTTCACTCTTCCCACCAATCTCTTGGGAAATTGGGCAATTTTCAGAGTTACAAATATAATGTAGCGTATCGTAATGTTTTTCACAGGTACTCCGACCATAGCTACAGCCGCTAGGCTAAGAAGGACCTAGAGGGAACCAGTTTTCTACAGTGCCACCCTGAGGCAGATCTATAGTTAGTTAAGAATATTAAAGACAGAAGTTCAGTGATTGTAGGTGAGTTTTTCCACTGAATTTGTGTTTGAGTATCTATTTTTCCCTAATGGACAGCATAACGTCAGTACGTTGAAGAGGTTAATTAGGGGCCCTGCCCTCAGGATCCCTGTATTTCACACCTTGTCAGTACCTATGGTTATATATCAGCCAAATTTTAAACATACTAAATGACCGTTTTGGCCTTCCTAGTGTTTAAAAAGTGAAAAATAAGTGGGAACATGCTTCAGTTACGTTTTGTTCATAAGATATTGAGCTAATTAACTAAAAAGACATTTTTTATGATCATTTTTACCCAACTTTTTGTGCCAAGGATGCCAATAATTGTGGAGCTGACTGCATTTTTGCTTCTCTAGCTGTCTCTTGCAGACTCGAATTTGCCATCCTTGGCCACAGTACTTTCCTAATGCCTCTGCAGAGGCTCAGGTTGCATGTCTTTCCCAGCTCTTTAATTTATGTAATTGGATTAACAACATACTCATCAAACCAGCCCAAAGCCATTTGTCCTCCTCTGCCGTTATGTGATTGATTTGATGGGATAGGTATTTGATTACCTATTCCTGCCTTTTCCCTCCCATTAATTGTCAGCAGGTGGTGATTCATTAATTTTTTAAATGCATGTTCAAAATAGCCCCTCAGCACTGGAAATTCACCTCTTGGCTCCCTCCAGGTTACACAAGGGCTGGATATCTTGCGTAAGACGTAATTGATTGCTCAGTCCTATCTGATTGAGATGTTGGCATTGTGTCGATTAATCATGATGCCATGGTCTTTACACAGCTGCTCATAACAGATTGGAAATCTGGCCGAGGCAGTCAAGGTCTGGACGCTGAGTTGCTCTCAAGACGAGCCCTGACCTATCAAGGCGCCATATCATCAGACCTATCATCAAGGGCTGATAGAGGTAGTCTGTCAAAGTGCAATGACTGGGCTGTGAAAACTGTGATGGAAAATGAATGATAGAGCCATGTCTCCCATACATTCATTCTCTCCCCACACTGTGTGCCCTAATACCAATTTAAAAGGCCTCTATCTTGCCTCTTTTCTGCATTACAAAGTCATGACTCATCTCATTGACTCTTTTTACAAGGCCGATCTACGGGCAGAAAAAAAGCAGACAAGGCAATTTAGCCGGGTGTCACGTAAATTAATAATTCATCTCTCCTCATGGGAGGGCAGTACATTGAGCTAACGATGGAAAGAGTTGTGTTTTTCCCCTCATTAGCCAAGCCTGATGCAGTCAATTGTCTAGCAAGTAGCAATAGAAATATTCCAGAAAGTTCTTTAATCTAATTTGGTTCAGGAGTCTGTGTCCTAGATTTGAAACTGACTGATTTTAACATCTTCCGCAATAGTTAAAGTGACTGAGTGCGATGTTAGTCATGAAAACACTGCCTGCTCCCCACGGACGAATTTAATTGTTAATATGCCTCTGCCGTGCCTTACTCTACAATATGGCGACAGATGGTGCGTGAGATCAATCTAAACAGACTCCTTCCTGCATCCTCTCCCCTGAGGTATCTGTCAAAAAGGCCTAGATCATTTAATCAGATGGACTTAGTAATGATGCTCGGCTTCC